TGGGCAGCAAGGCAGGGGCCTGGGGTGCAGAGCACTTTGTGGCACTCCTGAAGTGGATCATTGGAAGCTCTTATTGGGGTTCAGGACTCAGTTAGCATCCAGGGCTGTGAGGTGACCAGCTCTGTGGGACATTTGCGTAGACTCTTGAAGGCTGTTATGGATGGGTCTCAGGATACTGTCCTGGACCCAAGGGGTATGGCGCTGGGTGCCTGAGATTATCACACAAGATCAAGGGGCACAGAGTGGGAGACCTGGTGCTGATAGTCCCACAGGGTTCCAGGCCCCAGAGGCATGGGCAATACAGTAGAGACAGGAGGGCTGAGGGGGGGGTTGGTGCTGCAGGGGTCCTCCTCAGGGCAGTGTAGAGGTGTGGGCAGCACCGTGGGGTCTGGAGACCATTTTAAGGGGCCAAGAGGCATTAGCTGAATGATGGGTACATTATCCCAGGGCTTAAGAGGGTTTCCAGAGGAGGTTTGGGCACTCTCAACGTGGGGCATAATGGATCTGGGGACATTTCAGCAGGAGCTCAGAATATGTAAAAGAGGCACCCAGTGCATTGAAGCAAGGCCCTCTGGGTATCGTAGGAGGGTCCACGGACATTACAAGGAGATCCCATCAGTGTCCTAGCAGATCTCTGGGGACATATGCACTAGGCCAGCGCCTTTATCGTGGTTCCTCAGGGTGATATTACTCGGGTTTCAAGGAAAGGTCTGACAGGTCCTTGGCCACATTATAACAAGCCACTGTGGACTTTCTATCCAAGGAGGCCTGTTCTGATTTCCTAGTGGTGCTCCAACAGGAACACACCACAGATGGGAGGGCTTGGGCAAACAGGAGCTTATTCTCTTACAGTTTGGGAAGCTAGAAGTCCGAGTTCAAAGTGCCAGGTCTAGGGGCTCGCTGGAAGCCCCTCGACCTTGGGCTTCAGCTCTGCCTCCTGCTCCCGGCCCACTGGAGCTGGAGACTTCTCTTCACTCAGGCGCTGCTGGCTGCTGAGGCTGCCAAGCCCAAAGTCAGTAAGTCCAAAGGCACAGTCCTGATATTACCAAACCACACGGCAGACCATTGATTCAAGCCTCCAGATCGGCAGGAAGCATGGCAGGCTGCTAAATAAAGACTCAGCTGCACGTAGGGTCTAAGCGTGCTGTAAAGCCAGAGACCTTCTGTGGTGATTATGTGTTTCTTGTGAACTTGGCTGGGCCTGGTTGAGGGGCTGGGCAGCTGGATGTAGTATTCCCCATGGTGAGATTGGTAATCAGCTCCATGGTGGAAGCTACTGTGAACAGCTGAGTAGCTGCCTTAGGGAATGTGGTCTGGTTCCTGTATATAAACAGCAGCTTTGGGAACGGTCTCTAGCCTGTGGCGCGCCTGGACCCTGCATGTGTCCTTGTTCAGCAGCTGCCATGCTCTGCCGACCTTGGGACTTGCAATGGCCGTGGTTTGGTAACATCGGGACTGTGCCTTTTTACTTGTCAACCTTGGGGCTTCTCAGCCTCAGCAGCCAGCAGCTGTCTGAGTGAAGAAACGCCTCTAGGTCCAGTGGGCCGGGAGCAGGAGGCAGAGCTGGACCCCAAGGTTGAGGGGCTTTCACCCAGCCCCTAGAGCCTGGCACTTTGAACTTGGACTTAAAGCCTCCAAACTGTAAGAGAATAAACTCCTGTTTGTTAAGGCCACCCCATTGGTGGTATATTCTTGTCAGAGCGGCATTAGGGAACCAGAACACCTTTCTCACAGCTGCTGTTTATATACAGGAAGCAGACCGCATCCCAAAGGCAGCTACTCAGCTGTTCCAGTGGATTCCACCATGGAGTTGATGACCAGTCTCACCGTGGGGAATACTCCATCCAGCTGCCCAGTCCCTCAAAACCAGGCCCAGCGCCATGGAGAAAACTGACCTGGCTGGTGTGGCATGGAGAACCAGCTTATTTAGAGTCTTGTTCCATGACTGTTTGCCCAAAGCAGAAAGTGCCTTCAGGATCTATTTTTGGAGGTTTATTACCTATGTCTCATTCTCAATTCCAACAGTTTAATGAAGATCTAAGTAAAATGCTAGGTTCTACCTCAAACAGACAAACAAACAAAACACAACCCAGGCCTAGGCAAGCTGACACATAACCTTGACTACTGCGAGGATGATAGTGGGGTCCTTGGGAAATTCCCACCACCTGTTTGTCAGGTTGTCAGCGTGCAGCGACTTGCATGTTGCTAGGATGTGGAGGCTATGCCACCAGGATTTCAGGGACCAGCAGTATCACCCATGCTGGTGGACAGGTCTCAGCGCAGCTTGCAGGCTAAGACAGACTGGGAACAAAGACTTGGTGACGCACTTCCAGAATTTAGCCAACGAGAACCGTACGGATCACAGAACACGTGCCACCTTCCTGCTTTGGACACGCCATCAGGAGCGATCACTCGCTGGATGAGCTCATTTTGCTTGTGAAGCACAGGACAGGGCTAGGAGACCCTCAGTGAGATGATGGAACGAAGCCACCACATGCCATGGAGGGACTCCATCTTAACAGTGGTGCTGAGCATGACACAGCACTGGGGAACGGTTTGTTCCGTGTAGATAAGGTTATGATGGGTAGGAGTTGACCTGACAGCAGCTATCCATCCGTCCGTCTGTCTCTTTATCCATCGATCTAAGGGATTGTCATGTGGGACCCCAAGGACTACTATCACTAGTCCTGCAGAGGTATTACAGGATTCCAAGGGACATAGCAGGGACTGCTCTGGCATTGCAGGTCCCTCAAGGGCATTTTAGGGATGAGCTGAGGATGATACTGTAATTGGACTCGGGGGTCACTATGGCAAGATCCTGCAGAATCACTGCTGGTGGATCTCAGTGGATATTCTACAAGGACCCAGAGAGAGTAGTAAGTATGACTGGTAGCGTCTCAAAAAGTTGCATTTGGAATTACAATAGGACCCAGCAATTCCCTTTCTAAGTCTGTGCCCAAAGGATTGAAGACAAGCGTTCAAACAAAAAACTCAGACACAAAGGATCATAGCAGGAATATTCACAGTAACCAGAAAGGTGCAAATAACTAAATGCCCATCAGCGGGCAGATGGAGAAACAAAACGGGGTCTAGCCACACAGTGGAGCAATTGCACCCGGCCCTAAAGAGAACTGAAGTTCTGAAACATGGTGCGACGTGGAGGATCTTAGAAAACACCAGGCTAAGTGACAAAAGCCAGACCCAGAAGGCCATAGCCTGGTTCCGTTTATAGAAAACTCCACAAGAGGCAAATTCTTGGAGATAGAGGTAGATTAGTGGTTGTCAGGGACCGAGGGGAGGAGAAACAGAGCGACTGCTCAATAGCTACAGTAGTCCCTCACTTGTGACGAAAGCACGTCACGCACGTTACGCAAAAGGCACGTATGACTTTTTTTTTTTTCGTACATGGTGTCATAAGTAATACACCATAGTCCATAATTTGCTGATTTTGTCATCTTCAGATTTCACTTGCAGATGTTCAGTTTTCTGATTGACAACACTGTGGGATTTATAAAGACACTCATAATAAACGCCAATAATAATGAAAACTGAAAAACTAAAAAAATAAAAGGGGTATTTGGCTTAAGTCAGAGGTGATTTAGGATGGAGTTGTGTGAACAGAACCCTGCCGTAGGCCCGCGACTACCTACCTATATGGGGGTTTCCTTTTGGGGTGATGGTTGAAAAACACTGAACGAGCTAAGTCGCTAATAGTAAATCTTATGTGTAGTTTACCCAATTGGAAAATGAGTGGAAGTCTTATAGCAAGAGCATGGGGTGTGCTGGGTGACGGGGGGCTCTGTGGCAAGATGGCAGTGTGTTGGCACGGTGGGGTCGCGATCCAGTGCCACAAGGGCATAAAAACCACAGCCGGGGCAGTTAAGGGGACACTTACGGGCAAGGGGGCCTAGGGGAAAAGGCTTGTTGAGAATATTTTCTTTATGGCAGGGGCTTGTGAAGGCCACGGTTAGGGGCCCAAGGAGATAAGACGGGAGCCACAGAGGCCTCCACATTCGGACTCCGATGGTGTTAGGTTCAGGTCCCACTGGATTCGCTGGGTGGCTGATAAGGTCAGAGTAAAACACACGGAGCAACAGAGAAAGAGGGAAAAAAAAAAAAAAGACAAAAGTTTCTAGAGAGCCACCGGAAGAGGGTGGGCGGAGCTGGGGGTGCCCAACAGACAGCCGGGGGAGCAGTCTCCGGACGGGATGTAAGAGAGGAACTTGGATCTGCAGTCACGCGAACCAGCTGGGCTGTAGGCGGGCAGGGAACCAGCTCTGTGAGCCGGGCGAGGGCGGGGGCAGGGACTGGGGCCCGGGCTCCCGGGCCTGACGGTGCAGGGGCTGGGGGCCCGGGCTCCCGGGTCTGAACGTGCAGGGGCTGGGGGCTCGGATTCCCGGGTCTGACGGTGCAGGGGCTGGGGGCTCGGATTCCCGGGTCTGACGGTGCAGGGGCTGGGGGTCCGGGCTCCCGGGTCTGAACGTGCAGGGGCTGGGGGCTCGGATTCCCGGGTCTGACGGTGCAGGGGCTGGGGGCCCGGGCTCCCGGGTCTGAGTGTGGAGGGGCTGAGGGCCCGGGCTCCCGGGTCTGAACGTGCAGGGACTGGGGGCCCGGGCTCCCGGGTCTGAACGTGGAGGGACTGGGGGCCCGGGCTCCCGGGTCTGACGGTGCAGGGACTGGGGTCTCGGGCTCCCGGGTCTGAGTGTGGAGAGGCTGGGGGCCCGGGCTCCCGGGTCGGAGCATGGAGGGGACAGGCCAACTTGTGCGACAGGAATTTCAGTCTATCGGGTCTGTAATTAATTAACCAACACGGATCAAATTAAGGGGTGAAAGTTCACAGAGGGGGAGAGATTGTTAAAAGTCAGAACCTGTCACCCCCCTGACCTAGACCCCCGGCCCAGTCCCAGCCGCCCGGTCCGGCCCGCCCCGCGGGTTCCCGGGAGGAAGGGGCGGGGCGGGCCGAGGTCACTCACGTCCCTCCGCCAGGTCTCCGGCTCAGGATGGGGGTCCCTCGGCCCTGGGGGCTCGGCGTGCTGCTGCTGCTCCTGCCCGGGACGCGGGGCGCAGGTGAGGGGCCGTCGGGAGAGCGCCGGAGGTCGGGGCGGCGCAGCGGGCGCTCGCGGGCACTGCCACTTCCTCCTGCCCCGCCGCCCGCGTTGTTCGCCAGCTCTCCGCCCCTCTCCTCCCGGCGCTGGCTCCGGGCCGCCTCCTGCACTTTCTGGGTCTCTGGCCCCCTCTCTCGCTGACTATCTGTCCCACTCTCCCTGGTTCTCTGTCTCCCTCTTCCTGGGTCTCTGTTCCCCTCTCCTTGAATTTCTGTCCCCCTCTCTCTAGATCTGTGTCTCCCCCTCTCTCTGGATCTCTGTCCCCCTTGCTGAGTGTCTGTCCCCCTCTCTCTGGGTCCCTGTCCCCCCCCCGGGTCTCTGTGTCCCTCTCTCTGGGTCTCTGTCCCCCTCTCTGTGGGTCTCTGTCCCCCCCCTCTGGGTCCCTGTCCCCCTCTC